GGGTATTTGAATTATTTGAATTATTTGGGTTCTCGCGCCATCCCAAATAATTAAAATAATTGAAATATTTAAATATATAGAGGAATCGAGGCGCTAAATATACCCTAGAGGTGTCTCTCTCATATATGTATATGTGCATGTGCGTATATATGCATATACACATATTATATGAAATATGTGCATACATGTCATGTTTTGATTCTTTGTACCACGATGGCTGCCGATGCCGAAGTAATTTACTGCCGCTTCACCTTGACGCCCAAAACCTTAAACCCTGAAAATCCTGAAACCCTAAAAACCCTAAAAACCCTAAACCCTAAAGGAACCCCCAAAAACACTCTCAAAGCGCCGGGAGATCCTGACCCATGAAGGCTTGGTTGACCTCCTGTAAACCCTGTAATGTAGGGGCCTTAATAATTAGAATAGTGTTTTGTGGGGTTCCTTATAATGATTATAGTCTAATATACCCAAGCCCTATTCTAATTACTAAGGACCCCATGTTCAGGGCTAAGTTAAGGGTTCCTTTGAGTGTTCTGTTAACGGGTCTTAAAGAACCCTCTGATATGATACAGGGGCTGTTCTTGGCCCTTCCGGGACTTATGTGATGCGCTTGTTGAAGGGACCTTTAGGGTTTAGGGTTTAGGGTTTAGGGGTTTAGGGTTTTAGGGTTTAGGGTTTAGGGTTTAGAACCCTTTTGTATCATAGAGCCGTCAGGACAACACCCTCTGCCTCCCACCGACGGCTGTTCCGGCTGTACCGAGCCCGGGGGCCCGAAGGCAGCACAGTACCGGTCGGCGAATAGACCTGGTTTAAGGCTTTAGGGCTTAGGGTTTAGGCTTTAGGGTTTAGGGTTTAGGGTTTAAGGCTTTAGGGCTTTACAACGGAGGGTTTGGAGGTTTTTTGCTAGTTGAGGCTTTAGAGGCTTTATTTTTTGGGTCCAGATTGGAGGGCTCGGGGTATTGGGCGTAGGGGTTTAAAGCCTAGGGTTTAGGGTTTAGGGTTTAGGGTTTAGGGTTTAGGTTTAAGGGTCAGGGTTTTGGGTTCAGGGAGCAGGGTGAAGAGCCCTAGGTGTCGCTTGTGTTGGCGGCCGTGTTCGAAAAGTTTGCTCTACTCATTGCCTTGCAAGGTTCAGCTAGTTTGTTTTAAACCCTAAACCCTAAACCCTGAACCCTAAACCCTAAACCCTGAACCCTAAACCCAAAACCCCAAACCCTAAACCCTAAATCCTGAACCCTAAACCCTAAACCGAAGCTTGTTTTTGTTCAACTTGCGTTGGTTTTATGTCGCATTCTGAGCTTCGCAGATTGGGGCTGAACCCTAAGCCCTGAACTTTGAGGGTACGGGGCTTAGGCTGGGTTGAGGCGCCATTGCCTGTGTCTACCGTTGATGATTAGAACAGGGTTCAGGGGTACATTATAGTACCCTAAACCCTAAACCCTAAACCGTAAACCCTAAACCCTAAACCCTAAACCCTAGACCCTAAACCCATGCTTACAGGATACCTATGATAGGCCTATAAGGGACTAACAGACTAACCATTTCCAAATTAAGGTTCGCCTCCCTAGAGCTTCTGGTATCCGGCGTTGAGGGCTTCTGGCTCAAGGATGTAGGGTTTGGGGTTTAGGGTAGGTAGGGTTTAGGGTTTAGGGTTTAGGGTTTAGGGTTTAGGGTTTAGGGTTTAGGGTTTAAGGGTTTAAGGGTTAAGGGTTAAGGGTTTAGGGTTTAGGGTTCGTGTTGAACTTGACTCACCTCAGAAGGTAAGCAACCATGAACAAGTTCCGCGACCCTCCCAGCGAAATCTCCACTCGATAGCACGAAACCCACAAACTTCAGCTGTCGAGTTCACAAGCCAGAAGAAGTGTAACCTTCCTTCGGTCTAGGGGATCGCGTATACCATGTTTTCCCAACCGTGTAACGTCCAGAAACGCAGCGGAGTAAATATGCTCCGCAAAACGCCTGTTGGACTGCCTGAGGCTTACAGTCAACAGTCCTTAGTAGCTCATGAACCCCTATAACTTAAAATGGGAACCCTTACAAGTACAAAGCCTTGAAAAAAAAACCTAAGCCCAAACTCCTAGAGCCATAGACCAAAAAGGGAAGAAGCCATGGTCCCTATAACACCTCAAGCAAGGAACACCTGAAACGACAACAAAAGGAGCCTAAACCCTAAACCCTGAACCGACGTACAACAAGGAGCCCTGAATTGGCTAAGCCGTAAGCCCTAAACCAAGGCTGGAACCCGACAAGGGGATAAAGCCCTAAAAGGAACCTCTCAAAAGCTCCCTGTATAAAGCCCTAAACCTTAACCCTAAATCCTAAAACCTAAACCCAAAAAAGCGAAACTCCAAACCCTAGAAAGAACCCCAAAAGGAGCTCAACTACAGGCGAGAAACCGCGGCGAAGGACCAGGCAAAGACCGAGCCGGGCATTGGCTGACGCAGAGACAAGATTGAGGACTGGAGCTTTAAGCTGTGTGGGTTTTTTGGGGTTTTTAAGGTGCCGGGTTCCATGGCTGAAGGGTTTGGGGAATAGAGTTTAGGGTTTGGAGTTTAGGGTTTAGGGTTTGGGTTTAAGGTCTGGGGGGGGTCTATAGGATTACAAGGGTTAGGGTTTAGGGTTTATAGAGCAGTTTGGGGCTTTGGGTTTTTAAGGTTTGGGATTTTCGGGTTTCAGGAGGCGTAGAGAGGCAGAGTCCAGAAACCCTTCATGTTAACCGCGATATAGAGCTTGGCAAATCAAGGGACCGTAATACAACCTCCAAGTGGTAGCACCGTTATTTTATAAGGATCCCTAAATAAGGTACCCAAGCAGCGGGAGGTGAGAGAGAGAGAGAGAGACCCATTCTGGGCGGCACTTACATACTATACCTGCCATGACATGCCTACTGCAGAAGCCTGAATCATTAGAAATATCTTTTCCCTGGATCTTTATTATAGTTCTACTACAAGAAACCCCCCAAAACCCGAATCCAATAGTAATGCATCAGAACAGGGTTTTGGGATACCCTGTAGTCCAGCTGTAAGAAGGAACAGCAATCAATTAAGACTCTTATATATATATATACACACACACACACACACACTAGCTCTGGCCTGTGGGAATCACGCCGCAGGACAAGGAGCCAGGGGAATTGACCACCTGGTTCGGACCCGGGTTTCCACTGATTAGTTGCGGCACTGATACGCCCCACAAAATTTGAGGTTAAGGGCTTGGGATTTAGAAGTTAAGCTTCAAGGTCTAAAGGGGCTGATACTGTCCAAGAAATATGAAGCATATTCATTCAGTTACTCAGCCCCCACTTAGGGCCATTTTTGTATATGTGTGCTCGACGGACTTCCGGGGTCGGTCTGGTTTCCGTTGAAGTCGACTTTACATGTTTTGTTTCTAAATCTTGTCAGATTCCTTAAAGCTATTTCAAAAACAAATGTTCAACTTTAGTATATACTTAAACTTAGTTTAGGGTTTGGGGGGTAGGATTTAAGGTTTAGGGGAGCTTGAAAAGCGTCTAGGTTCCCCAGTGGCCCATTTAAACTAACGGTACTCTTGTTCCCACTATTCGGCTTCAACAAGGAGACCCCCAGTATGAAATGGGCAAAAGGGCACTACTTGGCTACGCAGACCTCGGCCCTAAAATACCTACATAGGGCGTACTTCAAGCCCTAACGATGTACTATATATTACATGGACTGCCAGGGTTTAGGATTTTCGATTAAAGGGCCCCTTATCCACCTGCTGTCAAGTCAGCCGATCGAAAGTGCAATGAGGCGTCCATGTGCTAGCCCCTATAGAGGGTCCAAAGGACCCAATACCAATAACACGGTTCTTAGGTTTAGGCGTTTAGGTTAGTAATTGCAGCAGCTGTGTAGGCCAAAATTTGGGAGAGTTTATGAGTATAATTAGGTACGTTGACTAAGAGTACAACATCACATGACTCACGATACTCTCTCTCAGACCTCAGTCATCACCGGCTGCATCGGTAGGTTTCTGGTTTAGGATACCTAGAAGACTCCGCTAGCGCACCAGATTCCCGTTAGGAACTCTGGTGCTAGCCCTTATAGTAACGCTTGCAATGGACCTTTGACGCTTCAAAACCCCACACAAATCCAAACCCCAGAACTCCAAACGGAACCATTAAACCTTATATGTGAAAACTTAAGAGCCTTAATTATGAGTCTTTGATATTCCTGATTTTTACCCTTGATAAGGGGGCCCCCGCATGGGCTGCACACCGGATTCCTACACCCAAAACCATAAGGAGCCAGCGCCACGCACTTTAAGCAATCAACCCTATCTACCTTAAACCCTATAAACTCTATCCTCTACCCTAAACCTACAGACTTCAATTCCTAAACCCTAAAACCTCTCTATCCTGTACCGAAAACCTAGAGCAAGACCTCATCCCCTGGGCTGCCCACCAGATTCCCAAAGTCACAAAGTCTATAAGTTAAATAAACCCTACAAGCCCTATAAACCCTACCTATAGTCTCCATCGTAGTTCCTTTTTTGTGGTTGAACCAAGTATATATTCAGGATTTTATAAGGTATCCCCAAAAAGGAACTGCAATGGAGACTATAGGTGTAAGTTATATAGGGCTTATCGGGCCTATGAGCCTCGAAGAAAACAACAAAACCCTAAACCCTAAACCCAAAACCCAAAACCCAAAACCCTAAACCCTAAACCCTAAACCCTAAACCAACAAAAGCCGGGCTGGGCACGAGATTCATACACAGGTTCTCCGCGCCAGCCGCCAGGAGCTCTTCCAACGTCGGCTCCTGGCACTCCTCGGTCATGGGCTTTAGGGTTTAGGGTTTAGGGCTTTAGGGCTTAGGGTTTAGGGTTTAGGGTTTAGGGTTTAAGGTTTAGGGTCATGGGCTTTAGTTTTCTAGAGGGTCCAGATACAATACCATAATAATTAGGTCCCCAAGACCATGATAAGGATGGTTTTTTGAGGACTTAAGCCCATAACTGGCCCATAATCGTAGTATATATGGGTAGTTGTCAAAATTATGGTCCCTTTTGGGCTACACTAAAATAATATAGGTGCCGTATTGTAATAAGGACCCAAAAAGGGATCATAATTTTGACAACCACCCATATGTGAAACCCCAAACAGGTGTCTGAAGCAGAGCGGCGGAGGTTGTGCAAGGCGCTGGAATGCCAGTGACGAAGATCTCTGCACTCAAGGGCTCTGTGGTTAATTCCGCGGGCACAGCCAGATTCGTCCTGAGAGGGAGCTGTGGTTGTTTAGGGTTTAGGGGTTTAG